GGTTATATCAGAACGCGGTTTCGGTGATGCTAGCCCTGACTAATCTGAGAATCACTTAAACAGACAGGACATGCGGAGCACGTGTTTGCAAGAGGCTTCCACTGAGAAGTGGAGTTTATACTTGGATTTTGATTTAGATGCAAAGCAGTCGGGTAGCTACTTGGAACTGGACAAAATCTGGACACCTGCCTACTACGGCGACGATAAGCATGGCATGGGCCACCGGACTGGTCTGTATTCTGATGAACACGGCAACCTCAAGGTGACGGTGGGCAAGAAACACAGAACGTTTGACGTGAAGTGGAACGGGGATAGGTACGAAGTGGAAATCGATGGCAGTAGGTTCACGGGACGATATCTTTCAAACCTGACAGAAGACGCCAACCGAGTGAGTGTTTGGTGCTCCTCTCATAGCACATTCGGATAACAATATTGTTGTTATTGAGATGTCAAACTCGTGGTCAATTTAATCAGCACTTGTATTTACTGCAGGGTGGTAGCTTGTTGATTTGAGTGGGATGTTGAAAAAATAAATGACTAATTCACTGTTAGGGGATTCGTTCCCTAAAAACTATGTTGATGAAATGAAATACGCCATGAATTAAACCATCGTCTGTTTGCACTGGTTTACCTGGGATCGGCCTGGAATGCCGAGAAGACAGCTCAGTTTATTAGGTTGGATGCGGTCTGGATGGACTTGTAAAAGTATAAATAATTGATGGGGAGTTGAGTCAGGCGGATTACAGGGGAGGTACATGCTCAGGGGTGAAAGAACAGGCGGTCACGCACGACTAACGTTCACATCCAACGACCGGGATGTTGGAGGTGTGTAGCTTGAGTTGCGAGCAGTCCAAGGCACTCTGTGGCGTTTATGTTGGGTTTTATCTTTTGACGGTTGGGGGTGCTGACTCTTAAAAGGCATATGCCAGTTGCTTCACCGAGGCAAGCGATTCTGCAACTTTACACTTCAGTGGCATAATGCAGATGCCAACGCATTTTGCCTCACCATTTTCATTTGACGGTCAGATGAAATTTAACTGACTCCCTTTAAACTGAACCAGGATCACAGCTGGTGGTATTGTGTAAATGACCAGGCAAACAACTCTGCTTGATCAGTCAGTCGCACGCCTGACTCTTGTGTTGCAGCTCTTCACGCCATGGAACAACGAGCCATCAAGATCACGTTGTTCATAAGCGAGATGGTAACCCATCCAGATCTCACTTACACTGGCCTATCATCAAGAATAACTGTCTCGACTAGATTTGTCAAGGCTCTGGAAGCCTCTGGGCCTGCAATTCATTTCACCACGTATTAAATGACTGTACCGGAAATTGCACACTAGCATGTTTTTTTACACAACGCCTAATCACTCGTTTTATGTCATTTGATGCTGACATGCCTAGTTTAATGTTTAGAGACAGCGTCGACCGGGTTAATGGAAGTGAATCAACAGGTTTTACTACAAGGGCATTTGGCAAAACGTGAATTTTAAGTTGCGAGCAGTCCAAGGCATTCTGGGACGAGGTGATTGAGTTGCAACTTATGGGCTCTTCCAGTCAAGATGACATCATCAAACATCACAACGTGGTTGTGGCCAAAGATCAATGCCTCCAATCGTGGGCGGCCCCTTCTTGGTCCCCAATCGGCTAATTTCGCTAGTCTGAAGATGTGTGGAGCAGTGTTTTAACTCTATCCGTGTCACTATTCAGCCCCATCTCATAAGCACCTCTACGTTACCGCCCCCACGACCCCCCTTACCATTCAAGCGTTTGCAAATTTCCTCGTCAAATCGATGTGCATTGATTGACAACCCGATAATCCATAGCCCTAATCTGCATGTGTGTGTGCGCGTGTGTGAGTAGTAATTATAGCGACAGTGTATGCGCAAACACTGGACCACCACACAATCAAAACCCACGCACTTACTTGAGGACCGGGTTGTTGAACGGCCATGTCGACACCACCGACGTGACGCAAGTCCCGTCTGCTCGTGCGGTGTCATGCCACAACAGGGTGATGCTGGAATGCGGGATTTCTTCATGCGTATTGGTCTAAACACTGTCTCTACCGCCATTTGCACGGATGTATTCTTCGTGATGGGACAGTTAAGATATGTGTTTCTGTTTAAAATCACTAGCTGAAGCTATCTCTCGTTGCAACAGGTGTTCCGAGACGAGAAGAGCATTGTGACCACTCCCCGCAAATGCGCATCTGTCGTGTACCACCGCGATTTGGTTACCTGCGCTGGTGATAAGCAAATCGACAAGTCTTCGTTGAGAATGTGTGACAAGGTCATCGGCAAGGGCTGGTTTGGTGAAGTTACCTTGGCCAAATACACGGTGAGTTGTCGTCGATGTCTGTAATGGAATAGCATTTCAGGTGTCTGAATAACCAATCAAGAAAAGAACTCGTTTCTTATTCAAAACAAAGTCGCAGTTTCTCCAATCCGTAGTATTTTGAAGCTGCGCAGTGAGCTGTTGGACGTGAATAAATGGCCGTTGAAATAAGCCCGAGTATGACTTTGAGATACAGTACGACAAACAGCTTATGTGTATTACTCATTGTTCCACAGCAACATTGAGACGAGTAGGAACACGGAAATGGTGGAACTGTGCAGTCGAAATATCCATGTTTTGAATCGGTATTCCGACAAGTGGACAAACACCTGATTGCGTATTATGAGAAATCCATGTTACTGAAATTTACGTTGAAATTTGGAACCAATTCCCACTTCAGTGACTCCGAGTTCGTTCTGATTCCCAGAATCCTAGTGGTGTAAAGTCGAAAGTGGCAATCAAACGCGTATCCCAGACATCCCCTCATGCCCTGGTTGGCGCAATGGAGGTAGCCGTGCTGTCCGAGCTCGCAAAGAATCCTAACGACAACCTCATTCGTTTGGTTGGTTGGTATCTGGATACGGATGCTCTATGCATGGTGACAGAATACATGCCTGGTGGTTGCCTCGCCAACTACTTGGAAGGCCTGTACAACAGCAGTGACCTCGTTCAACAAAGGGAATTTCGCGGATTCGTCAAGGATATCGCGACTGGAATGCGCGCTCTCGAGAAGTGGAGAATTCAGCACAGAAATCTGGCTGCTCGCAACATCCTCCTTGACGCGAATAAGAGACTGAAGGTGTGTGTGTGTGTGTGTGTTTAACGACATTTTTCTTATAAATTAAATTATATTTTATTCAAAGATTATGACCTGTAAGCTATTTAATTTAAAATTTAATTTGACAGAATAAAATGACGCTTTGCAAGCACATAGTGACAGTCAAAATGTCGTCACCAAAATTAGAAGGTATAATTGCGAACTGTCAGATAAGGCATTTCTGGTGTTCGTGAGAGGCAAGCTTAACAACTATCGTTATTTTGCATTGCTCAGATTGGTGGATTTGGACTTAGTCGTCCACAGGGCTCGCACTTCACGTCTGGCGTCATTGCAATCAAGTGGGCTGCCATGGAAGTGATTCAGGATGGCAGCAAGTACACACTCTCCTCCGACGTGTGGTCGTATGGCGTGGTGTTGTGGGAGATCTACAGTGTGGGTTACGCGCCGTACAAGGAACTTGGAAATTCGCAAGTACTGGAGTACTTGAAGGCAGGACACCGTCTTGAGCGACCTCTTGATACTCCAGATGATATGTACTCAATGATGACGGATTGCTGGAAGGAGGACCCATCGGATCGACCTACCTTCAGTGTCATC